GCTGGCGGCGCCTCGCCCCGTGCACCATACTCTGGGCTGGCGGCGCCTCGCCCCGTGCACCATACTCTGGGCTGGCGGCGCCTCGCCCCGTGCACCATACTCTGGGCTGGCGGCGCCTCGCCCCGTGCACCATACTCTGGGCTGGCGGCGCCTCGCCCCGTGCACCATACTCTGGGCTGGCGGCGCCTCGCCCCGTGCACCATACTCTGGGCTGGCGGCGCCTCGCCCCGTGCACCATACTCTGGGCTGGCGGCGCCTCGCCCCGTGCACCATACTCTGGGCTGGCGGCGCCTCGCCCCGTGCACCATACTCTGGGCTGGCGGCGCCTCGCCCCGTGCACCATACTCTGGGCTGGCGGCGCCTCGCCCCGTGCACCATACTCTGGGCTGGCCAATTCCTGCAAGAGTTCCTATAGCAAGGAGCTGCAGGCCTCCATAGCCATCACAACTCTTCTGATTAGTCCGTTCTTTCAGCAGTATTTCTTTATTTGTTGATAGAAGAGACTTAGGCCTCTGATGCCCGGTGTTATCCGACTGTGTTGACACCTCTGCTCCTCACTCAGATTATTCTACTCTTGCCACTATATCTCTCATGTCCGTGTGCGCACAACATAAATGAAGACCTATGTTTGTAACGTGGTGGAGGTGGAGTCCCTCGATTGTGTCAAGGTTTGACACAATCGTGGGTTTGACATGTTTGAGTGGGATTGGGTGATATAGATAGGAGCTGCTTCGTATGGGCCAATAGGCTTTCTGCAGTTACCTTGTTCTTATGTTATGTTCTTATGTATCACTAAACATCAGCCCATCCTACTAAATTGAAAGTACTTAGAGTACAACTCGTCTTCCTGTTTAGATAGTACTTTTTGTAACTATTTTTTGTCCCCTTTGCTCCCCTTGCCACTTCAGGGGGGAAAAGGGTGTTGATCTGTCTATGGAGCCCAGCGACCCAGCCACAAGGCATGGGCCGCATAGGCCCCGCAGCCGTAACCCTAAAAAACACATTACAACTAAAACAAACTAAAATTCATGCTGTGGCCTACAGTGTACAAAACAAACAGAAAAATAAATATACATGGAGATAAATAAAAAAGGGTTGTACATTAAAATATATTTTGAAACAAAATAAGAGGCATGCCACTAAATGAATGAATAACGTCTCCGACAGGAGACGATCACCTTTAATGTCATGCGTGCATGGAAAAAATATATATCACGGGGAGGACATGCCTGGCTTGAACGAGTAAAGTCCCCGGAGTGGCAAGGAACATGCACGCATGTGTCCCTCCAGCCGTAGCTTATCCTCTCACGGGTTCGGTCAAGCCACTCGCCATCTCCAAAATCGGCCACTGGGGAAGTGGTACCCCAAGGTGACGTCCGGTAACCTTAGCCGGAATCCACTCACCCTAGTCGCTTCTGGGTGTCGGGGCACAAAGGAAGTCCACCCGTGCCCATGTCCAGGGGTGATCATTATCAACCCCTTCCCGTGCTCTTGGACCACATACGATAACTCGAGTACGTCCAGGTTAGGGCTTTGACGGAGCAGATCTCCAAATCTCCGTTGGTCAAGCCCAACCTCTTAAGAACATGGGCACTCTCATTGCTGAACCCGCCTCTCCAATTCAAGGTAATTGAGGAGGCAGAAACTGCATTAGCACCGGTGTAATCTCTGACCCACTGAAGGATCTCGGGGGTGCCGTACCGGTCACATTTGCTCTGGTGTGGCCGGGAGAGTGGAAAGCCGTCAACCGAGACCTGGGTGTCTAGAATTACGGCCTCGCCACTTTTGCAAGCAATGATGTCTGGCTTGCAAAAGGTCCCACCATCGGGTATCCGCACCTCCGTCACCACCTCGTACCCTCGCTGTCTCAGACGACCAGCTACGAACCGGGTGATATCGGTTCGTAGGCTACCTGCATAGCTAACGGGAATCAATGACCCCGCGGCTTGGTCTCCAATCATGCCTCCCGGTTAGTCCTCTAGTCAACCAGGCTGTTTGACGCGGCTACTCGCAGCCTGCCGTATGGATCACAGCCTGGTTGATCAGGTATTCTTTGGAGGTGTTTGTCGAGGTCTCTTGACCACTGTGAGGGGTCGGAAAGGTATGCCTCTTTATTGAAGCGTGTTGAACACTCTCGGGCCTTTGATGATGTTAGTTTTCTCTCAGAGTACCTATTGCACCTGTTTTTCACCGGGGGTATTTTGCACATTCTGCCATGCCTTCTGGTCTTGTGTGGTGTAATGTCTGTGTTCAGGTTTGGGACAGTCCTCCTAATATCTTCCAAGTGTAGATTATTATGCATCTCTCTCGCCTGCCCTCTTGAGAATACAGATTTAGAACTTTTAACCTGTCCCAGTAATTAAGATGACTTACAGAGGGAATTCTAGCGGTAAAGGATCTTTGCACGCTCTCTAGGTCTGCAATTTCTCCGGCTCTGATTGGGGCTGTTAGAGTGCAACAATATTCCACCCTAGAGAGCATTAGTGTTAAAAAGTGTCATCATTGGTATGGCATTCCCTGTTTGGAAGGTCCTTGTTATCGAACCTGTCATTTTTCTTGCAGTCGTGACAGCTACCTTGTCCCCTAACTCGCACCCCCTAAGCATACCCTTTATGGTGTTCTGTAAAGGTAAGGTCTTCTGACATGATTACTCCTAGATACTTACATTGCTTTTTCGTTCTATACTGTCTATACTGTGAACTGATTCCGTTTTATATATGGTATCCGATTTAAAAGTTATTTTTTTTCCATAGCGCAGAAGAACATAAGAACAAAGGTAACTGCAGAAGGCCTATTGGCCCATACGAGGCAGCTCTTACTTATAACCACTCAATCCCACTCGTATACATGTCCAATCCACGTTTGAAACAATCGAGGGATCCCCACCTCCACCACGTTACGCGGTAATTGGTTCCACAAATCAACAACCCTGTTACCGAACCAGTATTTACCCAAGTCTTTCCTAAATCTAAACTTATCCAATTTATACCTATTGTTTCGTGTGTATACCCATAAGAGCTCGAACTTTTTATTAAACATCATATTGTTATCTCTGGCCCATTGAAAGACCAGATTTACATCCGATTGGAGGTTTGCCGTGTCCTCTATATTGTCTACTAACATGAAAATCTATGGTATTATGATGAGAAAAAGTATCGGAGCAGTACGGTACCTTGGGGGACTGAGCTTTTCACAGTAGATGATCCGGATTTTGCTGTGTTGACAATTACAATCTGCGTTCTGTTAAGAAGTTCAAGATCCATCTCCCTAGTTAGTCAGTTATTCCTTTTGCGCACGCATTTTGGTGATGTGGTGATTATTTTAGTATGTAGGTGAAGCATTTACAGTGTTGTGGTTCGAACAAAATTCGTCAGTGAAGCACTAGTTCCGGAAGTGTTCGAACGTCAACAGTTTTGAGTCGTGTGTAAACCGTTTTTCATTCATAAACGGGGTTTGGCGGGTGCATGGAATCACTTTTAGGTCTTTGTTTGGAGGACGGGCTACACTCAACTAATGACGTTCGAACACTACCGGAACAGGGGCTTCTGACGAATTTTGTTCGAGCCACAACACGGTAAATGCTTCGCCCACATACTACAAATAATCAACAGAACCTAAACACCTAACCTAATCTAACCAAACCAGTGCCTAAATATGTACAATACAATAATATCTAATATTAATTTATATTTGAGAAAATCCCTGTTTTGAATGAACAGCATGTTAAAATTTATGAATGCGTCTTTGGGATCGACCGCTGGATGACATGGACTTGGTCTAAGGACGGGCTGCCGACCTATAGAAATTTAACTGCTTGCCAGCAAGCTATTTCAGAAAGTAGTTCCATAATAATATAAAAAAAATCCAGGTAGTATTACTTACAGGTGGTTGTCTGGTATACGAAGTTTTTGCTTAATGTAGCATTTTTATTATGCTATATTAGGGCTAAGATTGATTAGGTAGTTGCCTTTTTTCCTTCATTTTTATTTTCAATTGGAAATTAAAAAAAAAATACCCGGTACTAAATATGTGTTTTTTGTCTAAATATTTTAGGTTGATTTACTGTTGTACACTTGTTCATTACAGACAGAATTGTAACTATTTGTACCAGTTATGGAAAACACTACTGATCTGGAAAAAAAACATAAGCATATTTATTTAAAAACAAACAAAAGTTTTTTGCCCGAAACGCTGTGAGTATTAGTGGCTTTAGAGCTAGTACATACAATACCTATCTATAAATCCAACATTATATTTGTAACTCGTCTTGTAGACGAGTTACAAACCTGTTTATTTGTTTGTACCTGTTTATTCAGGTAACTTTTACCTGAATAAACATTTTGATTTTGAACAGTAACTGAATAACGGTTATGTAATTGTTAATAAACAGATACATTTAATATTATTTGTTGTATTCTTCTGTGGCTAAATGCTGTGTAAGTAGCCAGATTTATGAAAACATTGAAAGTTGAAATTAAAATTTTCGCATGCTGAATGTTAGTTGTGAAACGCGTTTGTTAGAGGCAAGTTAGATTATGTAAGCCTATAGTGTAAAATTATTTCCATGGGTTTATAAATGGCCAATATTGATGTGACTTGAGTAAAGGTTAGTGCGGATATGAAAGGGATTGGTAAAAGTAAGGGTGAGTGATGGTTGTGGAGGGTGGGGAGTGGAGGCGGGGGGAGCATGCGCACTCCAGCCCTCAGTCGTTCCCGCCATTATCGTGGGGTCTCCACGGGCGGGGGATGTTACCGTGTTATATCGCAGTAGGCACTGTTGTGCGAGTGTTGTGGCTTAGTGTGTATTGAGATACTATCAAGTAAGTGCATATCAATGGTATCGAGATGTAAAGAGTGCATTAAAAGGTAGTTCCCAGTAAGATATTTGTTACAAGAGAATCTACCAGTTCCGGAACAGTGATGCGGCAAGTGTTTGCACGACCCTCCAGCTCCACCAGAGGTAAATGGCCGCTTTGAAGATATTACTGCCAGGGAAAACGCCCATAAAGAGCATTTTCAACTACGTACTGTGCTAAAGGAAGATAGAATAACTTGGGATATTGGTATGAGAAACGTGGTTGAGGAACAACAGGAGCAGGAGCAGCGTGCCCAAGTTGTGTGGCGGCGACGTTGCCACAGTGGCCAGGCGGCCGGCCTCCCTCCCAGAGCCTCAAATTATTCAAGGCCAAGCGTGTGTGTGATCTCCGGCACTCCCGTTGTCACGTATTCCAGCCCGCTACAAACATTTCCCTTCCAGTTATGGACGTATACAGTGTTAATGTACTTGCCATCTTACATTTTTAAGCATCAGGTACTTTGAATCTAGGGCTCTATATATGTGGAGACAGTCAATGTAATTGGTCAACATTCCTGCAATTTGAATATCGTTATACCCCCTCTGGTGTCCCCAATACTGATCAGTGTTGCACACCAAGACTCTGCAAACAGTCTCTGCTATATTTGCACGACAACTATTTCTTTTGGTCTACGTTTTGGGGGATATTTTACAAATGTTTGACCAAGCAAGTTATTTAATTTACTTTTAATTATCAGTATTATCAGTGATAATGCAGTGGTCTTTTTCCTCTGTTTGCCAAAGTACTGAAGAACTGTAGATCTTTATGAGCTTAACATTTGCCTTGCACGAAATGCTATGCGTACTAGTGGCTCTAGGTTTTGAATGTATTAGCTTTATCTATAAATCCAACATTGTTTGTAAATCAACTATGTATGTACTTTCCTTATTAAAATTTACTGCTTGGGATGATTAGTGTCAAATGTAATTAATTACCCATATATTGGATGTTAGGCGAGACTAGTTTAGGTTGGGTTAATATACAGGCAAGGCTAGTTTAGGTTGGGTTAATATACAGGCAAGGCTAGTTTAGGTTGGGTTAATATACAGGCAGGGCTAGTTTAGGTTGGGTTAATATACAGGCAGGGCTAGTTTAGGTTGGGTTAATATACAGGCAGGGCTAGTTTAGGTTGGGTTAATATACAGGCAGGGCTAGTTTAGGTTGGGTTAATATACAAGTAAGGCTAGTTTAGGTTGGGTTAATATACAGGCAAGGCTAGTTTAGGTTGGGTTAATATACAGGCAAGGCTAGTTTAGGTTGGGTTAATATACAGGCAAGGCTAGTTTAGGTTGGGTTAATATACAGGCAGGGGCTAGTTTGTTGGGTTAATATACAGGCAGGGGCTAGTTTAGGTTGGGTTAATATACAAGGCTAGTTTAGGTTGGGTTAATATACAGGCAGGGCTAGTTTAGGTTGGGTTAATATACAGGCAGGGCTAGTTTAGGTTCGGTTAATATACAGGCAGGGCTAGTTTAGGTTGGGTTAATATACAGGCAGGGCTAGTTTAGGTTGGGTTAATATACAGGCAGGGCTAGTTTAGGTTGGGTTAATATACAGGCAGGGCTAGTTTAGGTTGGGTTAATATACAGGCAGGGCTAGTTTAGGTTGGGTTAATATACAGGCAGGGCTAGTTTAGGTTGGGTTAATATACAGGCAGGGCTAGTTTAGGTTGGGTTAATATACAGGCAGGGCTAGTTTAGGTTGGGTTAATATACAGGCAGGGCTAGTTTAGGTTGGGTTAATAGAGGCAGTTTTATTTCCAGCAGTAAGCAACTTGTTGGCTGGTAGTGCTTCTGTGTATTGGGTCATCTAAATTCTCATTAAGGGTTCCGATATATACTGTACTAATTATACTAAATAATTTATAACGATATAATATTCATAAATACAGTTGCACCTTTAAAATCTGGATCATGTTCCAGATTTCTGGAAATTTGCCTTTTGTTTTTGTTTGCATCACAATTTTCTAGCATTTTCTTAAGTTATACATGTTTATACATAGCCAAATATGGTTTAATGATTTTGCAACAATTTTGCACAAAAAATTAATTTGACTTTGTAACACACTGGTCTACAAGTCTGCAAAATTTTTATATATACTGTATATATATATATATATATATATATATATATATATATATATATATATATATATATATATATATATATATATATAATATACATATATATATATAATATACATACATACATACATATACACACACACACACACACACTGTATATGCAAGAGTTCTTACATTTTGTTTAACCACTAGCATGCATAGCATTTCAGGCAGGTTCTTAATCCTAATACATACAATGTTATGCAGTGTCGTCATGCTGTCTATTTAACTTGTGTAGTCACACAAAACTGGCCTTAAAATTTTCACTGTGAATAGTTAATGCCATTCTTTGCTAGACTGGAACCTTTCACCACTAATGGTTAATTCTAAATTAGTGTTCTGTGGTGCAACTTGTACATATTATCTAAATCATCATGTTTAAAAGCTTTCAATGTTTGTCATTTACTTTCTACTGTTCTCCATTTCTATCTGATCTATACATGATCTGCACAAACTATATGATCAGCTTCCTCTGCTTTCCCCCCCCCCCCCCAAATAATATTAGTGCAAATACAAATTGGTCACTTACCACCAAAGTGACCAATTGCGGGATCAAAGAGCCAAAACTCAACCCCCGCAAGCACAAATAGGTGAGTACACTCACATTTTTCTATTTACTCTGGCTAGTTATACTGTACATGTTAAGGAAGTCTCTGGCTAGTTACACTATACATGTTAAGGAAGTTCCTCCATCTTATCCCAGCTCTTTGTCCTCTTATCCCTTCTAAGTGCTTTATAGTCATACTGGCTTAGTGTGCTCTCCTTATAATTACCTTGCCTTCATTTTCATACTATTGGGCAAAACTTTTAGGATAATGGGCCATCCTGGGGATAACGGGCATCTCAATGTTCAACAGTTGGGAAGTACATACTGGGAAGATGGGACACCATTAGTATAGTTGTCATCCTTTAACTACGCTTGGGTAATTACATTATAATTATAGTTTTTTTTGGGGGGGAACTTTATTGCTGATAAAATTTGATATTACAGGACATGATAGGAGCAGTATTTGAGTTTGATGTTTTTTCTTCCTGTGCATGCAGATACAGTGCTGTACTCAAACTGTACATGCAAAAACTGTTTTGCAACTTATGTATCTGAAACCATTAACTGTTGACCCCTGGATTGCTGAAGTGTTACATCAGGCATTATCTGTACAAAATCTGAAAAATTTAATTAGTGGCAGGATTTGCCTTCTGTATTGTTAAAAACTACTGTGTGTGTTTTTTAACAAAAAGTGTGCCAAAACTTGAGTCACTTAAAGACACTAGATGTTTGTTGGTCTCAAATACTGATTGGGAACACTGTTCCAGTGGGAGCTTCAAAGGTTGCAAAGTTCCTAAAACATCCTAAGATTATAGGCATACCATGGGTCGAAAATCTTTAAGATGGTATGCATATTTCAAGGGTTAAGATAGCATGGCGTTTGTCATGTCAATAACTTTTCAGTTAAGAAATAACTTTGGCATCTGATAAACAGAAATGATGCAGATTTTGTGACAGGTCACCAGATACCTTTTGTAGGTGCTCAAATGTCATCAAACAGTTTAAGGAAAGTACATCTGAAACCCAAAGGGAATAAATTGAATTAACTCTACAAACTTGACAGTAAAGAATAACTGATTTTCATGACAGCATTGTGGAAATACTGTACATGAATTAATGATATGGTTATTTTAGCACGTTTCTTTAAAATGTTTAAAGGTTTGAGTGTTAGACTAGTTTATGCCATGTTTTATTTTATTCCCCTGCTGCTATATTTGTTTGTTTCCACTGCTGGATGCTGGTGACCTTACCCTAATAGAAAATATTTAAGTTAGATGTACATCTAACAGGGAGGTCTCAAAGATGTGGTTGCATTAAATGTACCATATAGGCTTTAGAGTACAATGTTTTATTTTTATTGTACACCGATATAATTTGTCATCTCTATTCATTTACATAGGCTTATTAAAAGGCATATTATTTAAATTGTTTGACTTTGTAAGATTAATACAGTGTATAAACAAAATATTTATAAATATAAAACATACATAAACTATAGGCCAGTCGGAGAGCAATGCTCGGAGATTACTCTGCAGTGTACGACTTCACCCGATATGCCACTTGGTTAGTACCAGGCTAGCACAGTCAGCATACAGCTAGTCTTTAGGCTGTAAGCTGACTGAGTCTAACTTGTTAGGCTACCAGTCATATCTCTAGCATTGCACTCTTGATTAGCCAATACAAGATTCACTAATAAAAATATCCAATGGGCATAGACTGACACTGCTGGGGATCTTGTTAAATGATTAAGATAAAATTCTAATAGATTAAGTAGGTAGGCTAGGTTATCTTGAGATGATTTCGGGGCTTTAGTGTCCCCGCGGCCCGGTCCTCGACCAGGCCTCCACCCCCAGGAAGCAGCCCATGACAGCTGACTAACACCCAGGTACCCATTTTACTGCTAGGTAACAGGGGCATAGGGTGAAAGAAACTCTGCCCATTGTTTCTCGCCGGCGCCTGGGATCGAACCCAGGACCACAAGTCCCGCGTGCTGTCCGCGTCCGCTCGGCCGACCGGCTCCCTAGCATGGCGTTACACACACTTTACACACTTTAGATTTGGAAGCTTTTCCAACTGATGGGTTGCAATTTCTCTTGGACTTCAACTGCTGGTACTAGGCTACACTAGGTACAGTACTAGGTACGAATCAATCAATGACGCTTTTAAGTGTGCAAGCTTCATAAGGATTCCCCGAGTGCTGCATACTCTTCTCCATAGCTAAGGGTCCCCCAAGAAAGCAACTGGGGAAATGTATCCCCCCTCATATACAGTATAATTTTAATGAATTTGGTATTTAAAAAATTCCTGTTGAGAATTTTCATAAAATGAGAACTTTTTGATTTTTCCACTGACACTAATAATTTGCTTTAATGGATAGCAACGTAATTTTTGTTTTATGTTTTGGTAACCATACTTATGTTCTAATGCTAAATATAAAGTATATATCTTAACAAATTTACAGGGGTGATTGAGGTTGAGGCTTTGGGGTGAGTGCTCTTAATTAAAAATTGTCGTAATTTTATTTTATAAGGTTGTTAAAGCCCTGTTAGCATGGTTAATATTAGTGTAGTTCTTTTTATAATTGCCTTTTTATATCCACTTTAGGTATCAATGTGTCTACTGGTCTGCCTGCTTGAAGTTGGTATAGTATCAATTCTGCATTAGTGTGCACTACCGCTGTACTTATCTCTAATGTTGCTCGGCAGTACAGTATTTGATCATATGTGTATATGCCTTGTTTCACCAGCAACAGCAACTGTGCAGATGTGTGTGGAGATGTGCTAGC